CCCACCCAACCTTCAATTTACGGTGACGATCGACGACTTCCGAAGAAATTGATAGCATTGTTAAAATTACGTGTACAATTTTCGTACTACATCAGTACAACCACAGAATAGATTAACAGAATAGATTAATCTATTCTGTGGTACAACTATATCTATTCGTATAATTTATATTATCAATAGGTTAGGTATRTAATATAAACAATTCCGACAAAATAGTTGTGAGCATGTGACATGTTCTACATTCAATAAAATATTATTATTGTTTATTATATAGTATGGGATAAACTATACAAGAGCTTAAAATAGTTTTATGTTGTAGTTTATACATATATTATATACATAATAATTGACATTGGTACCTATCGGTCTTTATGAGAATGTATTAGTCAGTGGCAGTGTGGCACGATCACCCACCAGTGGGTAGCAATAAAATATCACTGGGGGGCACTAGTGCCCCATACTTTGTATGTTAAAATATGCTATGTATAATATAATGTAATTAATTGTCAAAACTCGAAATTGTTTGCTAACTGTATCGATCCTACGTAATAATCCAATAATATTTCTAAAACTAAATTTAACTTCACCCTGAAGTTATGATGAATTAAATTAATATTTTTAATTGTTTAACTACTACTACAGGGGACAGTYGATACAATTGGCATAAGATAGAATAAATAATTTAGTAGAAAATTTGGATTGAACMCATTACTGACTTTTATTATTAACTTTTTGTCAAAATTAAAATGCAAATTTAACACTGCAAACAGAAGATTTTTCTTAAATCAATATTTTCTTAGACGCTTTAAAAGCAATTAGTTAGAAAAATTTATATAATATCATAATTAACTAATTTTWAATTATACAATTTATACATAATTTTGAACAAGTCTTTTTTACATCATAAAAATTCTGAAATAACAATTATAGTTTGCTGTAAAATAAAATGTTCTTAAATCAACTTGTGATAAATGAGAAGCTTATCTCCATAATAATATTTTCAATGATTTAAAATAATAAGAAAAAAAAAATATTTGATGGCTGTTATTCCAGCAATTAAATTTTTATGCATTTATTTTGAGTAAAAGTTTGGTATTTTAATGTTTGTTGCCTCAGCGTCGTTTTTATGTTCAATCCAAATTTCTTCATAAAAAAATCAAAGCACAGTAGATACTTGAACAGTGAATATTTGTAACTTTAATACATGTTTGCAACAGTAAACAATAAATGTAAAAAATATTTATGACATAGGTTGGTAGAAGGTTAAAGATTGGTAGGAATTATTGAATTAATTCAWGTAATACTTATAAAGCATTTGATAACTAATATTAAAAACCTAGAGATACAAGTCTAATTAATATAAATGTATAACATAAACATAATATACATGCAAACATTTGTATATATATAAAAAAAATCTATCGTGTTGGCAATTTATTTAGTAATTGTAAAAYATTTGAATAACAATTAGTTTAGGTATAATTGAAATAATCATAGATGTCTTAAAAATCATTATATTGATTAAATTAGTTAAACATCCATAATTTGTAAATTAAAAAAAAAAAAATATACCCGATAACCAATTAAATACACAGCCTATTTATAATTGATCAATAGTTATTAAGTATTACCTATATCAGTTGTAAAACATGAGARTAATACAAAAATCACCATCAATCATGACATTTCAGTCTTTTAAAGTCATCAGTAATGTAATAATTTTTAATTCAAAACTGATTAATTATAATTCATAACATATAAATTATTGATATTTTAGGACCAAAAGTACCTCTATATACATATATATACTGAAATTGATACTTTGACAATTATTTATTTATTTGTTTTATCATAGAATAAACATTGTTTTAATTAAATTACACATTTTATTTCAAATACTAGTAGCTAATGTACAGGTAAGTTTTTAATTTGTATTCTACTTAACAATATAAAAGATATCTTTTCATAAATATAACAATTTTGAATAAACGTGTAATAGTCATAATATAGAGCATTTATCTCGTTAATGTGTGACCATCATTTTATAGATATATTGTTTTCTAAGATCAAGATTTTGGAATTGGGTGATTAAAATTTTAAATAACACAATTAAAGTTGTAATCATAAAAAAAATTCAAGATGATGATAATCATTATAATATTTTTACATATAATAATAAGCGAAAAMACGCTTTGTAAATTATGTCAGTCTAAAATACATTATAAAAATCTAATTTATTAAAAAATATATAATATCTTAAATGTACATAAGTATATAATATATATACTTTAAAAAAAATCAATTAATTATAACCT